ATTTACATTCCTTTACCTTGCTCCTGTATTTCTTCCTCCACTCCAAACTAGCTTATTTTTTTGCTATATCTTCCTTTGTTCTGGTCAAACGACCTCTAGTTTGCAAAAGTACTTAGGAAATTATTATGCTTCCTAATTTATGTATCCCTTTCATAATGGGATATTTTGGGAATTTGCTAGTTGCCAAACCTTTCTATCAACTAATGCTGTTTTATTCATTATTTCAATGTAATCTTTTTTGATTTAGTGAAAAATCTTCAGACACGTTTGAACATGTGCTTTCTAATCTTCTTGGGTAAAGGCTAATAAGTGTTAGGTAATATATATGGCAACATTCTTCTTCCATAACCTCTTATGACATAAGACCCCTCATTCCCCAAGAAAGAAGAAACCAGAAAAATGTCTTAAAAGCAAAGAATAGGTTTTGCATTTTTCTCCTCCGTGTTAAACACAGGACACTAAATGCATTGTGTATTCAAAAATAAAAGAATGAAGCAGGTTCAAAAAGTGAGGTTTAATGTCAAATACTGCCACTTGACATCTGCATGCTCCTGGTCAAGACACTGAATTTTCTAAAGCCTTCTTCTCCTAGACCGTAATATTAGAATAATAATAATACTAGGTAACATTGATTGCATTCTTGCTATGTGTCAGCCATGTCCTATTTTCAGTGCTTTCCATTTATTATAGTGTTTAATTCTCTCAGGTAGTTACTATTATCCTCACGGCCATTTTACACATGAGGAAAATGTGGCACAAAAAGAAAGACATTCACCAAGTCCCATGCCAAGAAAGGAGTAAACTTCTGATCCAAAAGTCATTCTTTCATACCACTATATACTTGTAAAACCAATTTGTTAGGATTACATGGATGAACAAGTAGGTGAGATTTGTACACTGAAAACCATAATTCAGATTTCCATAGTACCATTGTTCAGTTGTATTGAGATGATGCATGTCAGCATATGTAATGTCTAGCACACAGAGGTTCTCAAGAACATGAGTTTCCACTCATTCCTCCTGAGAAAGCAGCTGTTTGTTCCTGTCTCTGTCTCTCCAGTGAGGGAAGGACTTCAAAATCGCTCTATTTTCCTCTTCCTATAACCACCTTTTGAAAGAACTAAAAGGAAAAGGCAAAACTGGTACCAGATGTCCTGTAGTTGTTCTGGTGTGAAGGTACCTTCGTTTCCTGCACATCACTTATACCTTGACAGTGTGTCTCTGCCATGTTCATGTGCACCCCATCTGAACTTGCTGGAGGAGCAAGGTGGGATGAGCACCACGTAAAAGCTGACCTCCTGGCCTCATTTCCTAACTGTTTAATTCCCCTTCCAAGATTCACAAGGATTCCTTGTGTTCATGCTAATGTGGTCAAAGACAGATGGAAGGAAAGACAGATGTATTACAGCCACACCCACCCAGAGCCCTGAACTTTGCCCCACACCTGAAACTTCCTTTCAAAATCCAGCAGGAAGTTTGCTAACAGGGTTTCATGTATCTATGGTTTGGCCTATCTAACCCTCAAATCAGCCAAGAATTCAAATGAAAATTGTCCAGCGCTCTATTTGTCTGACACAGTGTAGACACATCCAGTGTGGACTGATTGCCTGTCATCCACCTGTCAGAGGACCTGAAAACAGGAAGGAGACCACAGACATTTATGATGCAGGTCAAATAGCAAGGGAAAGGGGTTATAAAATAAGTCAAAGGAAACCGTATTTTTCAACTTCGTACTGATGTTGGAGGACAATTTCACTTCAATGAATACTCTAAAGAATCTTCAGTGCCTCTACATTTTTATCTTGAAGAATTTTCTAAATCCCACTTTCTCCCCTCTTCCATTTGTCATGATTCCCTCTCATTGCTTCATTTATTTTATAAAAAATTTTGCTACCAAAACTGTATTTTTTATATTGGCTGGGTCTTCTTCTGGCATATATTCTATACAAAGTGTAGATCCTCGATCTTATTCATCTCTTTTTTAGAACAGTGTCTATCATACAGAGTTTACTTATGAAAAATAAGATGCTAGATATTTAGTGAGAATGTTATTATAAATCTTAACAACCTTGCCCTGGCCAGGTAGCTCAGTCGGTTAGAGTGTTGCCCCCATATGCCAAGGCTTCAGGTTCAATCCTCAGTTGGGGCACATACAAGAATCAACCAATAATGCAAAAATAAGTGGAACAAAAAATCAATGCTTCTCTTGATTTCTATCTCTCTCCCTTCCTGTCTCTCTAAAATCAATATTTTTTTAATTTAAGTAAGTTTTAACAATCCTTGACAATCCAACCCCAGCCATATTTCTGTAGAACCTTCTGCAATTATACCAGTCCCTAAAAACAACAGTGACCTGTAAAATGGCCAGGCTATTGCTTTACATATGCTTAGCTCTCAGCAAGTGGATGTGGTAATGATGATCAAGGGTCTACACAGCCTTTACAATAACCCTGTGAAAAACGATGAACAGACAGTATACACATTATTATTCTAACTGTATATATGAGGAATTGTGAATCCTGGCAATGTTAAAATAAAAGCTAGCAGTTATGCTATATGTATATAGATAGTATACTATAGACTATAGATGGAGTATATATAGTATAAGTATGTACATATTTATTATATACATATTTAGTATAACTGATAGCTCTTGAATATATGTGCATATAATATATAACAAATATAAATATATATACTTCATATATTGAAGAGCTAGCATATATATACGCATTATTCAAGTATTGTTCTGCTTTTCAAGCATGCACTTATTTAATCTTCACATCAAGCCGATGGTTTAAATACACTTTTAAACCTGAGGGAAGGAGTGAAGAGATATTGAATGAATTATGCCAAGTCACAGGGTTACTCACTGGCAAAACAGGGGCTGGAACCCCACCTGAACCCACAGCATCACCTTGTTTCTCTAAGGTCTCCCTGAGCAACGTGGCCCCAAGTCACACAGCCGACAGGGCAGCTAGAATCTGAACCAGGCCTGCCCGGCTTTTCCTTCAGCACCCTGTTGCCTTATCCAACATGCCTCGTCTTTGAACTTCAATACCACTTAAAATTTTAAAGGTGAAAAAAAGCTGGAGTTCATCTAACCCGGTTTCCTCATTTGTAGCTTAAACATCTGAACTAACAGGAGAAACTTAGCGAAAGTCACACCAAGTCTCCTCTTCACATTCACCATGTACTTTCCACACTGGCATTTCTCCTTTACCTGTTTTACAAATGCATTCAGTTTCTAAAACCTGTATCCACCATAAAATATCAAATGAGAAGACAGTTCCAAGGTCCAGTGGAATGCAAAACAATTTCATGAATTGAAAAGAAGTGAATGAATGCAAATTATAGTTACACACATTTTGAAAAGACCATGCTGGATATCATGGGAACTTCAAGCATAGTTACACAAAACTGTGAGATACAGGACATTTACTTCCTTGTCTATACCAGCTGACACTGGCTCTTACAAAATTTTCTATTCGTTCAACACTTATATGATAAGTTCCTACTATGTACCAACCCCGAGGTTAAACTTCGAGTTCATTTAGCCCAAAGGAACTATAAGTATCTAAAACTGCAATGTCTTTCATAACTGTGAGCCTATAGAACCCAAATGTTTGTTGATACGTCAATGAGTAAGTGAGTGAACAAGAGAAGGTTCTCAAGCTGTATCCCATGGCCACGCAGAAATATTATTAGGACATGTAATCAGTGACAGAGTCTTTTTGCACCCCTCCTGTAAGAGGCTTTTGAAAAGACAAATAGGGTATATTTTAAAATAAACAATATTGCAAACATTTCCTGGAAACCTTAGCAACTAATTGTATGCAATAAGCTCCACTCCCTCTTGCATTATTACTGTTTCACTCATTACACTGATACATCTTCCTTGTGTGGCAAGAAATGAAAACCGAAGAGAAGCATAGAAAAGCTGCAGAGACTCTGAAGTCCAGGAAGGCAGAAACAGGAGCGTGTTCTTTGTTTCCATCCATGGTACCTCTCCCTTCCGGTTAGCAGCACAAGGAATTGTGGTAGCAATGGCTTTTAGGAAAATCTAAAAGTGAACCACAGAAAGTATTCATAACTTTTGTTATCTAACCCAACCTGAGCTTGGCCGGAGAAGTTCTTCACCCACGTGAAGGTTTTCGTTAGTGAATCCCATTCTCCTATTATCTCTGTCCCCTTGGCTTATTTGCTTTCTATCCAGTAAGATCTATAAAAATAAAAGTGTGAGCTCTCGTGTGCTATCCAATGTGCTAGCCAACACATTTTCCATACGATATACCTTTTCTACCCTTTAAAAATAATCCTAGCAACTGAATATTTCAGACAAGGAAGTTGATGCTCAAACAATTTAAATAAACTTTTCCCAAGTCACAAAAAGCATGTAATACAACCAGGATTTAAATCCACATGTCTTATTCCAGCTTTTACATCACAGTGCCTCCTACTGGGCTATATTGTTTTCATATGTTCCCACATTTCTGTGCACACGCGCGCACACACACACACACACACACACACACACACACACACATTATGACAACTACAAGCAGGAAAAAATTAATGTGCCTCAGGCAAACATACCTAATAAGTTTGGTAATTGTCAGCTCCTACACTGAGAGTTGTGTGCGTTTTTTGGCTACCTCACCGCTCAGTGGCTCAGGGTTTCTTCTTTTCCAGCACTAGAAGTTTAACTATGTCCATATGTTCAGGAGCTCACAAGAAGGGGAATTGAGAACAGCTTGATTAGCGTAGTCTGGGTGTTGGGTAAACGGCTCTCTCAGCCTAAGACATTTCTCTTCACATTACCCAGCATGAAGTCTCCGCACAACTCACCAGTTAACAGCATGGCTCCTTCTTGACCAGGCACTAAATCTTGGGCTTCAGCCCCTTGGGGAATGTTTCACTTACCGATGAGAATCAAGAAAGCATTTATTGAGCACCTGCTGTGGGATAGCCCCAATAAGGGGTTACAAAGAATTATGAGACCATGCTACTTTTCCTTAAGGAATACAATGTCTACTTAAGAAGAAATAAAAAATTATCCATACAGCAATAGAGAGTTAAAGGCAAAGCCAAGATTATAAGACACTAGAATAGATCTTACGATGGACAGTCGAATCAAAGTCAATAGTGCACAAGAATTTTGTCTCCAGGCTAAGAAGGCCAGTGCACCATTCTGGAAGAGGATACTTGGTTCCAGCTGTAAGAGTGGAAATTGTCCTAGGAGGAGAGAAAAGAGTAGGAAGGGGATTAATAAGGCCTGCTTCTATACCATCAGCTCACTGTACAATTTTCTCAGCTTTTTTGAAATGGCTCAGAGAAAATAATTATTTTCTTTTTTTAAGTGAATTTCAAATGTTGACAGCTCTACCAAGGAGAATGATTATTTTGTCCTTAAGGCCTGCTAAGATCTTTGGTTAAAGAGTAAAGCAGAAGACTTAATAATGTTACACCCCATTAGTAAATAATGTAGCCAAGTATATATGTTCAACATTTTTTTGTTCCAGTTCCTTTTATTTTTTTTAACTTTTAATTTTTTTCCTTTTTATTGAATATATTGAGGTGATGCTGGTTAACAAGATTATACAGGTTTCGGGTGCACAATTCCATAACACATCATCTGTACACTGGATTGTGTGTTCACCACCCCAAGTCAGGTCTCCAACCATTTATCCCCTGATACCCTCCTCTACCTCCCTGTACCCATTCTTCTACTTCCTTTTAAAAACAGCTTTGTTGTAAGATGGTATACATTCAACAAATTATACCTATTTAAAGTATATGGTTTGATAAGTTTTGACATGTGTATCACCCCAAATTTCCCTCATTCCCCTCAAGGATCCCTCTCTCTCTCTACTTCTCACTCTACCCACCGTTCCCTCCACAGCTTCCCCTCTGGTCCCTAAGCATCTGCTAGTCTGCTTTGCATTTGCTAGTATTTTATATAAATAGAATTATATAGTAGGTATTCTCTTTTTTTTATTTTAATTGTTGTTCAAGTACAGTTTTCTGCTTTTTAATCCTATCCCAGACCACCCCCCCAGCCCTCCCCACCTCCCTCCCATTACCACCCTCCCTCCTTGTTTTTGTCTATGTGTCCTTTATACTTGTTCCTGTAAACCCTTCCCCTTTTCCACTGAAATTGCCTCCCCTCTTACCCTGTGGTCACTGTCAGCCTGTTCTCTATTTCAGTGTCTTTGGTTATATTTTGCTTGTTTGTTTGTTTTGTTGATTAGGTCCCTTTTAAAGGTGAGATCATATGGTATTTGTCTTTCACCGCCTGGCTTATTTCGCTTAGCATAATGCTTTCCAGATCCATCCATGCCATCGCAAAGGGTAGGAGCTCCTTCTTTCTACTGCATAGAATTCCATTGTCTAAATATCTATAGTTTTTTGATCCATTCATTTACTGGCGGGCACCTAGGTTCAACATTTGAGGGTTACTATAGAAATGGAGCTTTCAAAACAGAAAAGGGCAAAAGAATACACAACCTTAAAAAACAAATTGCAGGGTATTATCTACAGTTTATCATTTATGCAGTTGAAAACACATAAAGGATACTTCAGTGTTGCTACATTGGAAGCATACCTAAAAAGTTATTAAGATAAATTTTTAAAGGATGGGAAAGGTATATATTTCAGCATATTGGTTAGCTCCAGAGAAGGAATAAGGGAATGGGATGGGGGTAGAGAGAAGCCTCTAACTAATTCTGTAATTGCTTTTAATTTCTTTGAAAAAATTCTAAAGAAAATATAGCAAAATCTTAAAATTTAGTAAGTGAAAGGAATTAGACTGAGGAGGTATATAGACACAGTTTCCATTATGTCTGCTGAATATGATTTTTATTATTTCTTTAAAAGTTCTGAGGCAGATAGGCACAGTGTTAATTTTGTTGATTAAGTCTGGGCTACACACCTGTGAGCATTAGTGAAATTATTCTCTGAATGATATATTTTATACTAGTAATTTAAAATAAAATTTTAAAACAGAGAACTTATTGGTTCATGCAGTTAAAATACCCAACCTACATTAGGCTAATAGTAAGGTTGATTCAGATGGTCACGTCATCAGGGCTATCCCTCAATTTTTCTGAGCTTCCTTTGTTTCTCCCAAATTTATTGCATTGATTTCTTCCTTGATCTGGGTTCCTGCATAGCAGCAAAAAAGAAAAAAAAAGCATCAGCAGCTTTGGTTCCTTCATATACACACTACACCATCATCCAATGAGTGACTTTTGTCCCAATAGTCTAACAGATGCTCAGAGAATCATTCTCATTAGAATGTGTTACCCCCACCCACCCACCCACACACACCACAAAGCAATGACTGTGCTCAAACAACCTGATTTCCTGTCCTGGGTCACTTACCTCACTCTTGGGCCAGGGAGAGGAGGAAGCTGATCCTCATGGGTCCTCCCATGGAAAATAGAAACTGTTGAGAACAGGAGAGGAGAAAGGAGACAATACGGTGATCAAGCAACTGATGAACACTAGACCATCTAACCAGAATAACCCTGGCTACTTAGTTAGAAATCATTAGTGCAAAGGGAAAGTTTGTGCTCTACAATGCTCGATGTTATTTGAATACCATTTACTTTATGGCCAACACTAGTGTAGGGGCAATGAGGGATGCAAATGTACGTGTGCGTGTGCGTGTGCGTGTGTGTGGGTGTGTGTGTGTAAAATATGAAACTCAACAGTCATTTTCTTGGACTAGATGCTAGCTAGTTGTTAAGTTTTGGTTTTTATCCAAAATCACATGAATTATTAAGACAAGAAGGAAAAAATGTAACATATATCAATGCCATCTTTTTCTATCCAAAATCAAAATGATTCTAAGACTTTATTTGAAGGTATATTCAGAGTCTAGACTTGGTAGACACCAGAGCAGAATGGTTAAAGGCATGGAGCAGAGCAAGACTGCTTGGGTTCAAATCCCAACTCACTCTTTACCAGCTTTCTCGCCTTGGACAAGTAGCCTACCTTCTCCATGCCTAGTTTCCACAGGTTAAAAACAGGGGATAAGACAGTATCTTCATCATACAGATGTTGCAAGGATGAACTATTCCCACCCTAACAACATCTAAAACAGCGCCTGGTATATTGCAAGCACTTACCTAACAAAAGAGACTCCTGCTAGATTCCAGTACCTTGTTTTAATTTAAAAGTAAAAACTTTGCACAAAGAAATCAAATTCTTGACATGGTATAAAAAATGGGGGGGGGGGACAACTAATATCATCGGATATCTGAAACTTTTAAATCATTTCAGAACACAACCACACATTTAAAAATTCTTTTAAAATAAGAAATGTAAAGAGAGTCAGAGAAAATTTATTTTTACCTTCTTGTCTAGGTTTAAAAATATGTGTGAGTTTGGCTCTGGCTGGTGGAGCTCAGTGATTGCTTTGTCAGCCTGCAAAGCAAAGGGTCACTGGATCGATTCCCTGTCAGGGCACATGCTTAGGTTGCAGGCCAGGTCCCCAGTAGGGGGTGCACAAGAGACAACCACACATTGATGTTTTTCTCCCTGTGTTTTTCACTCCCTTCCTATCTAAAAATAAATAAATAAAATCTTTAAAAAAATAAAAATATATGTATGAATTTGGGTTTCTGAGTAGGGAAGCCTAGAAATCCAACTGACTTCAAAAAGAAGGATGTTAAAAAAAAATCCCACAATGTGCCTTTGAGGTCCCGTGGTCTCGATGTACACTGACTTCCTGAAAGACAAAACAAGTATATCGGTTTCATATCCTTCCTCACATTTGGAAAAAACTTATCTTTGGGAAGACCTTAATGACAATGAGGCTCTCATACAGCGTAGGGATCCCACGGTGGATATCTTGAACAGGTTGTCATCAAACTTCTGTAAATAAACTGAGAAAGCTCCATACTTGAGCCTCTCTAATTAAGTTTTCCTTTGGCATTGTTTAGGTGGAAACTCTCCGGTGCTTTCAGCTGTTCCACTTGTGAACTAGTTTCCAAGAGCCAATATTATCATGACCACATTCCTTTTAGATGGGTGATCACACTCAGGCAGATAGCCTATGGCATGGGTATTAAGCTCATGCACTAATTTTAAATCATTGGAAATAATTGGCATCATTTAAAAACCTGCAAAATTTTAGAAATCTCTTAAAAAGCAGGACAGTTTGCCCTCCTGTTTCCATGGCTACAAAATGCTAAGGGTGATTCCGCCCTCCTTAGACTTGAGCATGCTGTTGCTAGTTGAACACAATCCCCATGTTGCAAAACTGGTTTCTATGGTTAACCATTGGTATAAACTCAGTGTTTATCTCACCCTTTAAGATATAGCCCCAGGATTAAAAATAAAACACTCAAGATAAGCTCAGACCAGTTTATGGGAAAATTGTCTCCCATTTTCTATACGTGATACTCAGCCAAATAATATTTTAGTTTATTGTTTTTTCTGTGATGTTTAGAAGTTAAAATTAACTTAAATCCACACTCTTGTTAAATTATAAGAGCAATACATTTTTATTACAAAAATGTTAAGTAATACCAATTATAAAGTATAAAATAAAAACAAAACTATCCAAGTCTTTCATAATTATATCCTTCAGAGATGATTATTTTCAAGTATCTGTTGGAATATTTTTTATGATCTATTTATACAACATATTAAGACATGCACATAAATTCAATAAACAATTTTATTCCCCCCTTAAGAGTTACCTTGCTCTACTATAGAGATTCTAAGTTGTACCATGCTTTGAAATGTAAAAGAGCAAATCGTGAAATCATAGAAGTATGACTTTCCCATGGTTCAAAAGAGTAAACTGTAATTGGAAAAAATTCAAACATAAAAAGGGGGCAAAAAAGAAAATTAAAATATTTCAGAAAGGTAGTGTCATGCGCATGTCACTTCCTAATGTATGGAACTTTTTTTTTTTCTTGCATAATCTACTCATGACTTTGTACCCGTCCTTAGGGAAAAACTACTGCCTACACTCAAGGTTCATCTTTGGCCCGGGAACTCTCCTGCCACCCCCACTCCTTGCTCCAACCCAGGCTTGGTGGTTTTCTTGCGATAAAAATGCTTCTGTGGCCCCAATAGAGAATCAGTGCTGGTCTCTGGCGCTCTGAATTGAGGTATCTTAATCTCAACTGCCCTTCAAGATCACACCACATCTTGACAGGCACCTAAGTCTTTATTATTCCAAGGGATCAGGAGATAATTTTGAAACACACACACACACGCACAGACACACACCCCTCCAGAGTAGAAATATTTATTTTAAAAGACAGAACAACATAATGCTACAGACCAGGGGCACCATATTCCTAATGGTCTCATAATTTTGCACAACTGTTTTCCTCACGATGGAATTAATTCTCCACACTCATAGCATTTAACAGAATAGCATTATAGTCCCCATCTTCCTTTCAAATTGGACCTGCCCCAGGACTTCCTGTGCATAAAATCTGGGCCCATTACTGGGCCTCCAAGTCTTGATTAATTTACTAGGAATTTTATCACCCATGTGTATGTGTATTTTTTGAAAGTTATCCACACAAATAGACACACACAGGTACACACACATACATACATATGTACACACTTTCTATATACATTGCCCATCTTATTCTTTTTTAAAATATTTATTTTTAGAGCAAGGGGAAGGGAGGGAGAAAGAGAAGGAGAGAAACATCAGTGTGTGGTTGCCTGTCATGTGACCCTACTGGGGACCTGCCCTGCAACCCAGGCATGTGCCCTGCCTGGGAATCAAACCGGGGACCTTTTGGTTCACAGGCCAGCACTCAATCCCCTGAGCCACACCAGTCAGAGCCCATCCTACTCTTAAGGAGTTGGTATGTCTTCACCTTAAGTGTCGGGGTGTTTTATTAATAAATGCTAATAAATGTGCTCTTGTTATAAAAAGGTGATCATTAAAGCCAAGGGGGTCATTTTTTAATGAAGACACACTTCATTTTTTGAAAATTAGCTATCCATTTTAAGCAACTTGAGGGCACTAGTAATCTTGACAAGCATGACTTCAATATATTTATCTTCATTATTTATACAAATATTTAATGCGATTGGCCATTTGAGAGAAGCCTCTTTAGGTCTCACTCCAAGGTGGCATTTTTCCAATAATACAAATTAGTATATTACAAGTTTTAAACCAGCTGCGAGTTTGACTGTGCTATCATCTATCACATATTTCTCTGCCTTGTCTGCCAAGAAATCATGTTAAGTCTTTGTCAGATTCTTTAGTGAAGTCCAGATATATTACTTTTGAAATTCATCTTATCTGTGTATTTGTTAAACTTCTCATGAAAGAAAATGAAGTAAATTTGGCCTGATTTAAGGCATTTGTGTTGGCTCACAATACTTACCACTTCGCTTTAGAAACACCCACGAGCCATCTGAATTGTTGTTCATTCAAGACTTTTTTTCCATGAGATTCACAAAGTCTATAATTTCTAGAATCCAGACCTACTCCAGTCTGTAAGATTTCTAAGGTTACTTGCAGTAACTCTGGAACTACAAAAGCATTATATTTTTGGTATCACATCACTAAATGGTGTCCCCATTCTGAAATTCACTAGAGCTTAAACTTATTCCAAAGAGCCAAATAAAAACACAGAGTATATCAGTTAAGATACTCTTAGTTGAAAATAACAGAAATTTCAACTCAGACTGCCTGAAATGGTGAAGATATGTGTGTCAGACTATAGGATTTGTTAACTCGTGATTCATCATTGTTATCCTAGTTGCTTGTTCTTTCTATCTTTCCAAGCCGCTGCTTATAGCATCCACACTATAGTGAGCCTGATACTGCTCATAGTTATGAGCTGATTGCCAGCAACAGTCTGAGCTCCATGTCTCCTTATTCATATTATGCTGGAAAGAAAGAAAGGGGAGAATGACAGAGAGATGAGCAAGAAAAAAATTTCCTAAGAAAGAATGTTAGACCTTTCTTCTGAAAAAACTGAGTACCCATATATTACAATCTTATTCATTTGTCAAAGCAGTTCAACTGGATTAAATTAATTGGGGTCCAGCCAGACAGTTAGGAATAGGGTGAACAAGCTGGGAAAAAATATGATTATCTCCTAAAAATCAGGATTTTTAGTAAGAAGTTCAGGGGAGATGGCAGAAATGCTGGGTAGGAAACCAAGTGTTCACTTTAAAAAATAAACAAGAAATAGAGAAATTCTGCTATTTACTTAATTTTTAAAATATGTTCATTTTTAAATGATGTACTAGTGACCCCAAACTGTAGTTTTAGTACTTTCTAATTATTTTTTTCCACACCCAAGATAATCTGAACATTTTCATCAGCTGCAACATATACGGAGGTCTCAACTTTTTCTAGACTTTTATATTCTAGGAATTATTCTTTTAGAGTTCAGTTCTAAATTTGTATTTATCAGTAAATATATTCTTTTTCAATCTTTTATACATGGCCATTTAACAATGTATATCCAAACCTTCTCTTTTGCTGATGAACTAATAATAACACTGTCCCAGAAGGCTAATGACTTTCTCAAGATTTTTGCATTTAGTTCATAACAGATGTGGATTAGAACACAGGTTTCTGCTGTACTTGGCCATGACAATTCCCAGCAGTCACTGGTTACATTCTTAGTGGCCTTTAACAACAGAAATCCATTCTCCTTATCCACTGTGTACCCAACCTTTCTTTGTGAAAAGTTCTGCCCTTTCAATATCCTCTCTCTTTCAATAAGTGAGTGAGAGGTTCTAGAATTACTTATCACTCTGATGATTCCCAAATAGTAAGATCACATTTTGGATTTTTGAGGAAATACAAGAAATTTTTGTTGAGTTGAATTTCATTTCTACCACGTACCTTAGCAAGTTACTTATCCTCAAAGAGGTTTTGTTTTCTCATTTACAAATTAAAACAGTAGTATTACTTACCTGAACTGCTATTGTAATAAGAGTCAAGTGAGATTAAAATATTTAAAGGACTTTGTGCATAGTAGGCAGTCAGTAAACGATGGCACTGAAGTGATGGTTTTTATTGCTGTTACTATTGTACATGTAACATATGTCTGCATATAACAAATGTTTTAGCCGATGTCCTTGCAAGCATTGAGTTGTTTCTCTACTTTTACTATCTTTGTTGACAAAGTTTCCTGTGACTGGAATGCCCTTCCTATTATGTATGCTACTAAACACTGCCTTGAACCATCTTTCTAACTTCTTGGTATCTTTGAACATAGTTTCATGATTTGAAGGTACTATAACAAGTATGTTCACCAGATTTAATACTCTATAACATGTTTCATCCTTTTGTGCTTAATCGTGCCATTCTTCATGAGAAATCCTACTACGCAGGCACAAGTACACTATTAAAGTAAGTGTGGAGGAGCAAGTGGACTCATTCTTCAAGATCTAATGAAAAGATTCTCAGACTGATGGCCCTTTCTTACCTCAACCACAGCGAGATGAAGGGGGGTAAAAATTGTCATGTGGCCTATCTCAAGACAGAAAGACTATAGGTTGATGGGAGAAGTTATATCATCAGTCAATGGCAAATTCAAAAGTCATCAAAATTAGTTAAAGCCACAAAAAATATACCTGCCCTTTTCTTCATTAAAACTACAAAGAAAATAGAATATCTTTTTACTCTTTAGTAAAACAAGTATTATATATGAAGTCATCATACAAAATATGATTTGGCAGAATTTGAAAGGATGAGTAGGAAATGACTTAGCAGAGCAGAGAAAGTAGGAACAAAAGAGGATACAGTGAGAAACAAGCTGGTCACCCCACAGAAGACAGTTAAACCTCAGGGAACAGGGGTAGGTAGGCATACAAAAGGTGGGAACAGTCTGAGCTAAGAACATGCATTGTTTGAAAGCCTGGGAAACCACAATTTTCATTCTTATCCTATGTAGATAATGCCTACCCATTGTTCCTCTCCATAGAAGAAAGGAGATATAGTCTGGAGAAAGCGAACTAGGAAATCTCTTAACTTGAGGAAACAAGGCCCAGAAAAGGGTAACATATAAGGTTTCAGATGGAACACAGAAGGATGAAGCCAAGAGACAGAACCGAAAAAGACAGGAACTCAGATTGTCTCTCTGCATCTTACTCACAGAACATTAAGGTCCTTCTCAGAAGGTCTTCAACTGCCCTGTATAGGAGGCCTATTAATTCTGAAATTTGAGAAAGGTCTTTTTAAAAATGCTAGCTCTCCATTTGCCTGACTACTAATTGCAAAGCTCTGACCACTCATTGAGTTTCAGCTAAAAGAAAAAAAAATAATAAGTTTCTGCTTTTTAAGGGCTCAAAGGTAAAAAAAAAATGGTGGTAAGTTTTCAACATAAAATATAGACAGCAACAAAAAAAAATAGAAAGAACTCAACTATGTTTAAATAATAACTCATATCTCAACAACATAAAGAGATATTATATTAATGAAACAAGGAAAAGATAGTAAAAGAACAATTCTAATAAAAAGTAATTCGTAAAGAAAAAAAATATAATAGTCTTTTTCCCCTAAAATCAGTAAAAGGGTTGAAAGCAATAACAGAAAATGTACCCCCAAAAAACCCCAAAACAGAGGCACACAAGAGGAAAGAAATGAGTATATTAAAAGACCAATTTATGAAGTGTCATAGTGTAGCTGATAAGTATCAAAGGACCAAAGTGTCCAGAATCTAGTGTGGAGAAAATTAACAAATAAATAACAAAATAAAATATCTTATAACTGAAAGCCAAGAGTTTTCAGGTTGAAAGAGCCTACAAAATTTAAAACAAAATAAAATTTTTTAAAGGCACAGACATGGGTAACTACTTGGGAAATTCCAAAAACGAGGGCTAAAAAAGAGATCCAGAAGCTTCCAGACAGAAAGTAAGATCTTACCACCTACAAAAGGTCAGGAACTTTCATGCAAAGACTGTTGTATAAGAACTGCATCACATGAATGATAATGATAGCTGAAAGCTAATGGACCAATGCTTTCAAAATTCTGAGTGAAAATAAATGTCCACCAAGGGTTCTACTCTCATCAAAACTGCCAGAGTGAAATGTCAAAAATATTACTTCTGTGAACTCTTTCTTATGTACCTCCTTAAAGAAATATTTTGACATAATTAGCAATTAAATCAAGAAAAAAGCCCTGGCTGGCATAGCTCAGTAGATTGAGCACGGGCTGCGAACCAAAGCATTGCAGGTTCGATTCCCAGTGAGGGCACATGCCTGGGTTGCTGGCCAGGTCCCCAGTGGGGGCCACGTGAGAGGCAACCACACATTGATGTCTCTCTCTCTCTCTTTCTCCCTCCCTTCCAGTCTCTAAAAATAAATTTTAAAAGATAAAATATTTTTAAAAGATAAAATAAAAAGTTAAAAAAAGAAAAAAAAGGAAAAAGACGTGAGAGCCTAGAAATAGGCAACCCCAAACAGATAAAAAGTGAAAGCAATTCCTGGGATACAGGAGAAGGAAAGTCCCAGAAGAACAGCCGTCTATGGCAGGCTTACACTAAACCAGATCCAGCCTGGACAGAGAGAAGAAACTCCAGAATATACCTCGAGGAAAAAATGGAACTGGTAGATCCTGTAGCTGGTGGGAATTTTCTAAAACCTTCTACTGAAAGATATTTTACGGAGCTTATTTCAGATGTTGAAAGATTTAGCCAAATGTTTGCACATGAGAAAATTATGCAATGGCAAATGAGGGAGAAAGAGTTTGGGAAGCTGTTCAAGAGGGGGAAGGATGTTATCCTAGAGGCTACTGGATTCAGCATAGTGATAGTGACAAAAATATGGAATACAAATTTAATTAATATTTTAAAATACACTGATTGGTAAAATGGCAGGAAAGAAAGGAGGGCAATTAAAATCTTCATCTTTTTTAATAGGATGAAAACAGTTATTTTGAAGCTTGCTGAATCAAAAATAGCAATATATAGATTTTAACTTAAAATATAGACCTAAAAAGAAAGTCACTTAGATCTCCAGATGTACTATTGATGAGATTCTTCAATTCATACATTCTTATGAAATTGTATGTACAAGTGGGAAACAAATAATAATATTTATGTTATTGTTTTAAAACAAATATTCTCTATATGGTAAGTATGTATATGTGTCTGCATACAAAGAAAAATCTGGAAATCTACATAGCAGGTTATCAACAGCATCTCCCAATAGGAGGAAAAAATGGAGCAACTTTTAGTTGTAACTTTCTTTTAACATCTGAATTGGAACTTTAAAGTAACTGTCTTACTTTTGTAGTTAGAATTTTTATTGGACCTTGCAGGAAAAAAAAATAAGGAGATGGAGCCAAGTAAAGGGGAGAACATTCCAAATAGCAGAAAAGGAATATTGACCTTGCGGCATGGAGCACAGCAGATGAGTTCTCTTTGAATTCTGACAAATGAAAGAGGAGACTTGAAATTGCCCAGCAGTTGTTCTGGAAAAGGTTCAAATGCAAAGACAATGAGACAGACTATCACCTACCTCTCTTTAAGTCCACACATCTTTATTGTGTTTCTCTGGCTCAGGTCCTGTGTTTGATGCTAAGGAGAGAAACTAACAACATGATCTCTGTCCTGAGGAATCCAAAGTTGGATTGAGAGAAGTGGACGCATGCTCAAATACAATGCCATTGTTCAAATACAAAGAGCGTGAGAGAAGTGGACTCATGTTCAAATACAATGCCATTGTTCAAATACAAACAGCGTGCATGCCATTCCAGGCTCTTCGACTGCTTTGTCAGTTGTACAGACATAGGATGTTATTCATAGTGATAACATCCTGCATTGATGAAGCACATTCTATGAAACACCCTTCTAAAGTGCATTAGTATAATTATTGTACTTATCCCTATAACAATCTTCAGAGGTGAAAACTTTTGCTATTCAATTTTCTAGATTTAAAAAAACTGAGGTTTATGGATGTTGAATAACTCACTCAAGGGTATACTCCGGTAAATGCTGAGATCAAGATCTCAATTTCAGCAAGTTTGACTCAGAAGCCATACTCTCAAACCTTACACCCTAACTTGACTGTCTCACTGTTCCCAAAATACTTTTAATGCACAGGACTTCCTTGATTATGTCCATGGCAAAAGGAAAAATAGTGTTAAATTATTTTTTCACACCTAAAACAAAACAAATCATGAGCTTCAAGACTGAAAAAGTCACTCAAGCAAGGATGGAAGGTGGGGTTATAAAATCTTTTCTCCCATTTGCCATAATCTACCTCCCTCACAGTTGGATATCACAAGTCTGTCCTCCCCACTGAACTAAAAAGAAGACTCAAGAATCTATTTTCCTTTCTAAGCTAAAAGTAGGAATTTGATTCCAAATCCAGGGTGTTTCCAACCTAGTTGTTACCCTCAGCAAAACTGTCATTGTGACTTCACTAAATGGAGATCTGTGACTTCTGTAGACGCCTGGAAGGGGTTGTTTTGAAAGAAAGAATGAACTTAGGATGGGTTAAGCACATGCCCTGTGCTTTCTGACCCAGCACATGGGAAAGAGACAGCCTGATGCATGTCATAGGGGCAAAAAGGAAAGCATAAATAATGTCACCCATAATGTAATATGGTTCAGGGGAAGAAATGGGGGTCAAGTCATTAAAGAGAAGACGAGATCATTATGCTTTAACAAGGCAAGCTGCAGCCAGGGGAAGACCGCAGTGAAAAGTAGACTGGGACACAGAAAGCCAGTGTATGAAGACCAGGGGGAATACAGAGCTTTCTAATCGAAACCATGCTCCCAACTCCGGAAATGAAGGCTGCACTCTAAACAGTAATGCAAGAAGGGCGAATGAGATGACAGAGATAGGAAGCCGACTGAGGAAGTTGTAAATACGGTGAGGGACAGAGAATGGCACGTGGCCTGAAGGAGCACCCTGGGCTGGAGAAATAGGAGACAGCTTTGAAACAAGACTAAAGAAAGGCAAAATGGCATCTGAGCAGTCAACACGAGAAATTCAAAATCCAGATTCAAAGCCTGTAGGAGACAATCGACCTGGGAAGGAAATGTCAGCTCACAAGGGGAGAAGAGGAAGAGGTTAATAGCAAAAATATTTCAAGTGAAACAATATTTCAGCTTGCCTCCGAGGGTGTTGAAGTGTGTGGAAGTCCACATGTGCTCGTGTGAAACGCAAAACCCTCTTGATGTTCTGCCTGGAGAATTCTGTATTTCCTTGTTTTGACCTGCAGCCATGAAAACTGTCTTAGGGCCTTGGGCTGCAGGCCGGAGAGGACTCAGGTTTCCCTAAAAGCCTTTATAACTTTCAAAAAACCTACTGTACTTCAAATGTCTCCCACCCCCCACCCCGTTCCTTTCCACAACCGCACCACCTCCAGCACCAACCCTGTTGTGATAGGCACCTCTTTCTTGATGTGGAGAAGTAAGAGAAGGTTTGGTAACAAGTTCTCAGGTCGCTGAAATCGCTTTTCTGGTGAGCTGACGGATTTCATGGGACAAGCGTGGACAGAATGCATTAAGGAAAGACAGTATCACTGGTTGAACCACAGCAGCACCAATGGATTTGAGATTCTTAGAGATGGAAAACAACTGTTAAAATAAAATATGTACTAGTCACAGCCATGCTCCTAAAAGACAAGTTTAGCTATTGTTTGACTTACTTTCCCTACTCGCTTAATCCAGAGCAAAATGTTTAGTTTTGTAGTCTTACCTTCCCCTAACCACTCTATGGCAGAATATCTATTCAAACAAAACTCTTTCTTTTAAAGGGAAAGTTGGGATGAAAGGGAATCATTAAAATTATTTGAGAATCTCTACTGGTTATTTTGAGAATTTTACAAATTCCTGCTTTTTCCAATCATTTCTCCACTGTTCCATCAGTTATTAACAGACTCAATGGGCGAGGCTCCTTGCTGAGGGCTGGGATTCGACAGTAAAGACACAGTCACTGTCCACTTACATTTTAGAAGCGGAGACAGACTCACAACTAACTGCCTAATTAGAGTAGCTGCAAGTGCTGTTGGAGTATCCTATGAGAGCACATAATAGGAGACATGACCTATTGGGGAGAGGGAAGCTCAGAAATCTTCCCCAAGAAAAAGACATTTGACTCTCTTATACTCTTGGTGGGAATATAGACTGGTGCAACCAGTATGGAAAACAGTATGGAGGGCCCTCAGAAAACTGAAAATGCCTTATGACCCAGCAAATCTACTTCTGGGTACATATACAAAGAAAACCGAAACACTACTTTGAAAAAATATATGCACCCTTATGTTCATTGCAGCATTATTTGCAATAGCTAAGACATGGATGGAACCCAAATATCTGACAGTAGTAGTACATATATACAATGGAATATTACTAAGCCATAAAAATGAAATCTTACCATTTGTGATAGTGTGGATGGACCTAGAATGTATTATGCTCAGTGAACTAAGCCAGTCAAAGGAAAACAAAAAGTATATGATTTCACTTATATGTGAAATCTAGATAACAAAATAAATGAGCAGATCACAGTGACACAGACTCGTACAGAGAGCAGACTGAGGGTCGCCAGAGGGGAGGGTTTGAGGGTGTGGGTGAAAAATATGAAAGGATTAAGAAGTGCAATTGGCAGTTACAAAACAGTCATAGAGATGTACAGTAGAGCTCAGGGAATATGCTCAATAATATTGCAGTAACTCTGCATGGTGCCAGGTGGGTACTGGACATATCGGGGGAATCATTTTGAAAGTATGTGATTTTCTAACCACTATGCTGTACACCTGCAACTAATACAAAATAATATTGAATGTAAACTATAATTGAAAAATTAAATTTAATTTTTTTTTCAAAAAAAGACAGACATTTTACCAGAGACCCCAAAATGAATGTGAGTTGTAAATATCTCGGGGCAGAGAGGAGAACACGGGAACCTTCCAGGCAGAAGGAGCAGCCCCTACACAGGCTGATGGCGTAAAAGGTCAGATGTCATCATTGCTGTAAAGCTGCAGGAAGCGAGGGCAGTGCCATAAGGAAGAGGGACAGAGAGCAGGTGACACGGACATATGCAGGCCTTGGCAAAAGTTTTGAATTTTAGGCTTAGATCATTGGTACATAATGACATTTTAAGCAGAAAAGGCAAAAGTTCTAATTATCCTTTTAAATGCATTTTCATATGTCTCAGGTACTTATGGTCATAATTTTTTAAAACGTTTTATTTATTTAATTTTTAGAGGCAGGAAAGGAAGGAGAAAGAGAGGCAAACATCCATGTGTGGTGGCCTCTCTCATGTCCCCTACTGGGCACCTGGTCCACAACCCAGGCATGTGGCCTGACTGGGAGTTGAACCTGCAACCCTTTGGTTCACAGGCCAGCACTCAATCCATGAGCCACACCAGCCAGGCCATGTAATCATAATTTAGATTCCGGTTTCTTTCCTGTGTTGTGACATGATTTTTAAAGGTGGCTTCTTCATTATTTCCTCCTGGACTATCAGTCTCAGTCCTGGCCAGGGTCATGCAGTGGTGTGCCAGAGCTAGCTTGTACCACCTAGAAAGAGCCGACTGTGCCTGCCTCGTCCCAGCTGTGTTCAGTGACATCAGGATGGGAGCTGGAGATCAGCTATGTTAGAAATACTCCACCATGGCAATCAGAGAACACTACAAAAAAAGAGAACCATTTTACATTGAAGAGACCACATTTACCAGCGCACCATGGGAATCAAGTGATTTGGGAAATTGCCTAGTCACACCTTAGTGGAACAATGATCAGGAGAAGAAATATATAAACATATATATTTTTTCCACAATTACATATGTGTATATATAATCCCATCATTATATATGTATATAGAACTCCACAGTTATATATATATAAATCAAAACCATACATTACATATAGACATATGTAACATACAGGGGGGAACAAAAGTAAGTTTACAGTTGTTTATATGGAACAATATATAATATAGGAGTAAATAATAATACAATAATAAACTCTGTTTTTATTGTGCTCACAACTGTAAACCTGCTTTTGTCAACCCCTTTATATATGCATACAAAGAGAAAGTAGAGAGAGAAAGCTAAAATGATCTACTTTCCATTAGAGATGGAGCATCATTTTATTCCTCTTCATAATTTAAAGTGCCTTGTATGGTACCTGAGTCATAGTACCTATTCAGTAAACATGTATTTAATGAATGAGGGGAAGCTCTACTATTTAGCGTATGTATTTCAACCACTAACCACAACTCTTTCCAACATACACACAAACATACACAGATACACACACAGACACACAAACACACTCAGAGAGAGCAAAATAGTCAACCCAGATGCACTCTGAAAGAGCTCAAAAGCATTGCCTGTGAGAAAAGCAATCAAGATGTCCAGCCGCAGAGTCTTAATAGCTACGTGAATGGCTTGCAGTGCCGTCTAAAGTCTCTACTGATGTCTGAATCCATGAGCTAACAGAGTTGGTATGAGCTGGGAGCCATTACTGCCCCAACTGCTGAGACATATAAACTACCATCCACACTGAGCTGGAGGAATGTCAGAAACTCCGATATCACAGTCATTCTTATATGATGCAACAAAACCCTGCTCCTCTAACCAGGCTAACT